CGGAACGACAACCTCGGCCCTTCTTTCATTCTCCTTTTTGCGTTCTGCGCGAGCCTCTTCCGCGAGCCGTTTGGCCTCCTTCAGTTTAACCCGTTGCGTCCGTCGCTCGGCATCAGCAGTCTTACGATTCTGTAGCTCGGTCTTCAGTGCCACTTTTTCTTCCCATGTGCTTCGGAGTCCCTTGTCACAACGAATAGACGAGTACCTGAAATATTCATAAACAGACAGGAGACCAAAATAACCATCTGCTAGTACCAAGGCAATGAAATACCATAGAACGCATAGGATTCCACAAGGAAAGTCTTACCTCTTTGTACGGGTTGTCTTCCACACGCGACCCGACTTTGGCTTCCCCCGAACAGACTTGGGTTTCGCCATGGAAGAATTACAATGTCTCTAAGTTGGTTATCTGGGATTGGAATGAAGACGACCAATAGCTTATGAGTTACAGCTACTCAAGTAGTTGGCAAGATGTTATATATAATCTCAAAAGTAGAACAGGTAGAATGTGACGGGAATAAGCAAAACATTAATCTTAACAAACACCAATCTTTCGTTTTAAAGACAGGTAAAATACAATCAATCTCAAACCGTTATCTACCTTGGGAACTATTCAGTATTTCCAATATTACTGTCGGCAGACAAATGACGAAAGAACTGAAGCATTTTTTCCCCGGTACAAATTGAAAATAGGCAAAAACAGCAGAATTCACCACTGCTGTATGTATCCTCGTTATCCTTCTTATGCAGCGACAAGTAGCAGCTGATGAGCTGTCACGAAATTTGTTGATATCAATAAGTTCTGCTGTTTTTGTCTATTTTCAAAAGAAAGAATTGACTGTTAACGGAGAAGACTGGTGGAGTGCCGGAACTGTTTGTTAATCTTTCTGAGCTTTTAAACTCGTACAAAAGTTCATTGTCAGCGATAGCAGCAACAGCAGAAAAGCGACAATTATAGAGGGGTGCAAGCCAATAAATTATCAGCGGCGCACGTCTGGAGATGACTGCGCAGGGCATCGGCACCGAATCGATACATAGATTGAGTTTTCATCCGTGGACCAAGTTTCCATCAATTCTCAGCTTGTCTTGTTTACAGTGTGGACGATCATCTCGACGGCTACAAAGTTGAACTCACGTCCCGTTTCGTTGGTGTGAGCAGCGACTTGCAATAACTCGCCACCCCATCGGACTGCCAGCTTATGTCCATGTAGGTACGATCTGAGTGTGCGTTCAGTATAACCAATGCAGTTATACAGACAGCATAGGCATGGAATGATATACATTATCCCAGATTGCTCTTTGGGATTAAGTGGTCATTGCTCTTTATCATGTAGTTGCGCACGATAGGTTTGGGACATTGTGCAATTCCAGAACCGAGTTCCGCAACGATGTGCTCAGTAGCTTCTAAGACGTATCTGATGTCTGACAGTGTGCCATATCGTCGATGTTGTTTCTGTTTGGGTTCTCTGAAGCCGAACACATAGACACTGACTTATAAACGCCTCCGGGTAGCTAGTTAGCATAAATTGGTCGCAGAGATATCGGTCTTCGCACATGCAATTGCATCCAGTTCTACAGCGACGAATACTCTAACAGTATTTCCTGTGAAGGATGTCCTTGTCAAGTGAAAGCTCAAATCGAGACAACTTTTGACAGGGAGACAACGAACACAACATAACTTCACAGCTTTTACATTAACCATCCGGGAGCTAACAAACAAAGCTGTGAAAGAATTCTCTTCAAACTGATTCAGACTCACGGCAGCAGAACGAAGGAAAGGGTGCGCGAGTCCCGATATTTCCGAGCCCACAATTAACTAAAACCTGTCCCACGGATGGGAACAAAATCAATAGATGTATCGATTAGGTGCCGGCACACAAACCCCTGCGCACCCACCAGACATGCGTCGCTGATAATAGATAGCCTTGCACACCCTACAAATGTCGCCCTGTTGCTGCTACTGCTGCTGCCACCTCTGAGGATGAACTCATTTACCAGTTTTGCAGTTCAGAAGAATAAACCAACTGTTTTGGTGCTTGACCAGCCTTCTAATTTACTCATGGAAACAACCGAAAGGCTAACATTTGATTTCATTCATAAAAAAATTGAGAGTACACTTTGTAGCCAAAACATACTTTGTTATTTCCTGAGTCTAAGGTTAACAAAATAGATGCGAGAATTCAACGACAAAGATAAAGGACACTGATTCTTCTAAAATTGTGAATTAAGACAACTTAGGTGTGTCATCAAGCAAAACAATAGTCGATTTGCGATGACGTTAGAGTAGCCAGGTAGTTCGGTGTTCAGAAAAAAATTTATAATATTGCTAGGTCACATAAAATACGCCGAGCTCTTGTGCTTTGTCCTGCTGCAGTGCCTATAATAAGTTACTAAGAATAATGCGCTCGTATTCCTAGTTGCTTATGATGGTATGGATGCGATAAGCTACAACGGACAGTGGGTAGGCAAGAGTGTTAAGCGTAAGTGGCACCATAAGGTAGAGGGAGAAAGAAGACGCCAAACAGCAAGGATAAACGTTACTGGAAAGCGCTTGTTTGCATTAGCTTTTTGTCGTTAATCGAGTTTTCAGCAGTAATTATCCCATTGACATAGGTTCACCAACCAGACACGAAAATCAGTGCACAGAAAAGCTCCAGCGAAATTTTGAGGACAAAAATATAAGCTGTCTACAAATCCGTATTACACAGCTAATAAACTGAGTTGGAGATAACCACCGATCACGGCCTGGCTGTCGTTTGCCGGCCGCGTCGGCGCCTTGGTGGAAATCCTCCAAACAAATATACTTTAAGAGTCAGTCCCTCAACGGGAACGAGGACAGGCATTGTTCGCTAAGATATTTATAATATGGCCATTCATTGGATGCAACTAATCGTGGGTTTGAACGTTCTGCAGGAGACATATAAAACAACAGGGAATGGATTAGAAGCAAGCAACGGTATATAATCATGTAGAGGAGTCATGCGTAATGCCCTGACGCCTTTTTTTCGAGAACCTCGCACATTCGACAAAGAATCGATGATAATTGGCCAGAAAAAAAGTCATACATCTGATCAAGGTATGTCTAAAATACGCTATCCGCACCCCATCGGAGCGCAATCCTTGCTGATGCATCAGCAAATTATTTAGCAAGATAAATGGCGTGTCATTCTTGTCAACACTCGAATAATAAGACTACAATATAAATAAGTCTAGCACAGGAAATTTTCACAAATTAAAAAACCGATGAATGTACGTACGAAACAAAACACACACACCGCAAAGTGGGGAAGCGCGATGGAATTTCAAAAACGCGCGGTTCAAAACCAACCAACCTGACCTAGAAAATACTGGGTCAAGGCCTACAAACTGTGGTGTTTTCACATGTCTACTAATGGCCTGCATTAATGCGAAAACCATAATTGTTTCAAAAGTTATTCTAATTCACTTATAAGGTGAAAACTTTTTTCACCCCGAACTTCCAATTAATGTTCGGACAAAACGCCAGCATCAATTTTTACAGCAGTAATTCTGGAAACTGTGCGGCCGGTGTTATGCGGAATAGATTGTTTTAAAGAGCAATTCCTTATCGATTTGTACAAAACACGAGTCATCGCTAATAACAAATGCGTCGTGCGTTAAGCCGCCTTTAAGTACGGTGATGGCCGATTAAGTAAGGAAATTATTGGAATAAAGAGACCCTACTCTTTCCCTCTTTGGTCCCCGTTATTCCGTTCGGTACGGAGTCTTAATACCGTGCAAATGCCAACGCTTAAATTTAGGAACAAATACGCAGCTCAGATGCATATGAAGTGTGTGACTATATGGGTTAGGATGATGGCTAACCACTGTTTAATCTCTTCAGCAAACGTGACGGCACAGTTATTTAAGTTGACGACAGAGACAGTAATTTAGAATAAAAGGTAAATAAATAAATAAAATTTTATATTTTGGGCCCAGATGGCTTCGTTATTGAGGATTGAATACGTGGGAACGTTTTTTGTAATAAAAGAAAGCTTGACTTCGAGGTACAAACTCATATGTTTTGCAATTTCCTTGTCACAGAAACTGGGAATTATTTCAGTAGTTTGCAACTTATTCAAAATGCATTGAGTTCAGGTCAATATAATTCAATATATTTAGGTCGGTCGTCATTGCCTTTGAAGACCCTATAAGAAAGGAGCACACAATATATGAATCAAAGATTACTCAACGATAAATTCGAGTAATGTGCAGCTTCATCTGTGGGTACGATCAAAGTATTGCCATTGTGGAACATATTTTTTCTGTCTGATTTAAGAATTTCGACTAAATATACATCAGTTTACGTTCGAATTGTTGTGTTATGTCGACCATTATCACGTTATCGCGCTACCCGTTCTGGGCACCGTCAACACATTTTCATGTTTATCGCTCAGATTATTTGTGGCTAGTGAAAATAAATAATCGAAGCGCAATTCGTTTTTCCGATTCATTGAGAGCCAAGGTTGGCGAGAACTGCACACCACAACCAACAATTCCCTGCCAACACCAGCCACGTCTAACCACGCCTCGCCACGCGTGGCGCGATG